AACCCTAAACCTAACCCTGACACTTAACCCTAAACCTAACCCTAACCCTTAACCTAACCCTAAACCTAACCCTGACACTTAACCCTAAACCTAACCCTAACCCTTAACCTAACCCTAAACCTAACCCTTACCTTAAGTTGAATCGGCTTGCTTTCTCCGCGCTCGCTGTTGTCGCCCTGTTGATGACGTCAGCGACGCGGTTTAATCGGGCGCGGCTTAGTCGAGCGCGGTTTTGTCATGCCACGGTCTAGATATAATCACTGTAGATGCAACAAATTCAGTAGGACAGCATTTGTACTGGCCTTTTGAAACGCGTCTTCAATCTGTCTTGTCTTTTGAGAAGTCAAGTGGGATATACATTTCTTCTTCCTTTACGTGAATTATAAATATATTGAACAATATGCTGATAACTTACTTGATAGGAAGGAAATACGTTATTAAAGGAACATCATGTCCCTGATTAAAATACATTCATTAAATCTGTATTCTACAAGGTCCTTGTTCTTTTGCCCCACAATATGGATGCAATATGATTTGAACAAGGCTAGAATAGAACGTTATCCAGTCTTGCTACAATTGTACTCTCTTAGATTAAATTGGAAGAGCCCACATTAATTCCCTAAATATAAAATGCCAAGTCACTGGGGTAAGAGCTAGGTTGCACATTATTCTACATGTAATCTTGCCAGTGTGATTTTATTTATTCCTCCCATCTCACTGCTAAGTGGCTCTGGGCAGTTTATCAACCTCATAAAAACAAAGACAGAAAACATTAACACATTAAATTTTAAAATGGACAGAAGTTAAATAAGTTAAAAACCAGAATGCTACAGAGTGGAGGTGGGATCTTCCTAATCCACTAACTACCTCCAACATGGAAGGCCCCGGGACAATCAGCAGAGCATGTTTTGAAGCTCTTAAAGAAGACCAGGAGGATGGGGGCAGATCTCTCTTTGAGTGGCATGTTGTTCCAAAGGGCAGGAGCCATAGCAGAAAAAAGCCTTCTCTAAAGTGCCTTTTATTGCATCTCTACACTTACTTTCTTTTAGAGTTACTAGCTATTGTTGTTTCAGGAATTATTTTTTCTAGAACTATTACATTTGAATCATCTGATTTAAAAAAAAATCACTAGCAATCTATTTCTAAAAAAAAACCACTAGCAATTACGGAATACTCTGTTGATTAGTTGGAAGCAGTGGCTCACAGATCAATATTAAATGGAAATAATTCCTGATCTGAGCCATATAAAGAAGTTTTTTGTTTGGTCTGTTCTAAATTTCCTTCTGATCAATTTTATTGAATAACCATTTCTCCAGTGGCTTAAGGGAACCCCAGGTCCTTCTCCTTACAACAACGGAAAAATAAATCTTATCTTGAGCCAGTTTTGCATGCCATATATCAGCGATGGCAAACCTTTTTTGGCTCGCGTGTCAAAAGCGGGGGGAGCGCAGGGGGGTCATGTGTGGGCGTGCCACACCCATAATGCAATGCACAGCCCCCAGTGCGCATGACAGGTGTGACCCCCCCTTTTTTTGCATGCTTTTTTCGCCCTCCCCAAGCACCAGAGGTTTTATAGGAGCCTGGCGAAAACAGCCTCCCCCCCCCTCCGGAGGCCCTCCAGAGCGCAAAAAAGCAGGCAAACCAGAAGTTCAGCAACGGACTTCCGGTTTGCTCATAGGGCTGGTTTAAGCACTCCGGAGTTTTCATGGGCCTTCCGGAGGCTTCCCAGAAGGCTCCGGAGGACGAAAAACGACCCTACGAGCAAACCAGAGAAGGGTTGGCTTTTGTCATCCGGAGCCTTCCGGGAAGCCTCCAGAAGGCCCCTGAAGACTCCGGAGGGCTTAAACCGGCCCTACGAGCAAACCGGAAGTCCATTCCTGAACTTCCTGTTTGCCTGTACGGCCAGTTTTTTGTGCTCCGGAGGCTTCAGGGAAACCCCTGAAGCCACTGGAGGGCCTCCTGAGGGGCGGGGGAGGTTTTCGCCCTCCCCAGGCTCCTATAAAACCTCTGGAGCCTGGGGAGGGCGAAAAATGGCCTCAAAAAAAGGCTAAAGTCAGGGCAACGCCTCGCTGACAACGCCTGCCATATGTTCGCCATCCTGGCCATATATAATTCTATAAACCTTGATCATGTTGCCGTTTATATGCATTTTTCTAGGCTAAAAATCTTAACTCTTGTAGCCTTTTCTTTGTTGGGAGGGTGTCTAACTGATAAGTTGTTTTGATTGAATTGTTTTGTACTTTTCCAGCTGTATTTTTTACTTTTATAAATGTCTTGACCAGATCAATATATATCATTCAGCTCCGGCCATACCATATAAATGACAACATTGGCTACTTCCTTTTAAGCCCCCTTTCTAATAATTCCTAGATATATTCACCGCCTTAAATTATAAAAATAATAAAGGTGGGATAAAAATAAATAGATCTTAGTCTCACCATGATAAAATACATGGTGCAAGGACAAGAGATAGTAAGGCTCTAATTTTAATGGTCAAGATTCATACAACTATCAGCTATAGTGCAGCTTTATGGGCAATAGGCTGGAAACAACTCTGTGAGAAGAGAAAGGAAAATTGGTCCTTAATTGAATGCATGATTCCCCAGGGAGGTAGGATTAGGACAGATATAAAAAATTTTTTTCATCTTAAGTAAACTGTTTTTCTCCTTGGCCTCAAAGCCCCCACAGTTATATTTCTCAGCAGCACAAGATTTTCATTTTCAGACTCAGCTATTTTAACAGCTATTTTTTCCCCCCCAGCCAATCTCTTATCATTTTTCAAGGCAAAATGTTGACCCTTTCCTTTTATAGGAGCAGTTATCCTGATTACCAAGAAGGGGAGGATGTAGAGATGCCCGAACAAATGCCATCAGAAAAGAAATTGGACTACGATGATGAAACTATGGAGCTGATTTTACCTTCAGGTACGCGACACTATGGAAATTAGCCACGATTGTCTTGCTATGCTAGCTTTCTGTTATTGCAATTTAGAAGGATGCAGCTGCTACTCTGGGATGGGGTGGTGCAAGAATACATACATATGGCTTCTAGATTATTCAATTAAGTTTCCCTTTTACACATTTTGATGGGTCTAAGTTTCATTTTTGCACATTCAAGCAAAATCTGGGAGTCTCATTCTCTCTAATGAAANTTGACCCGTTGTAAAATATTCACAAAGTAACTACTGCTATACTGCTCTGAATCGCGTATTTCTTGGAAATCAAATTTATAAATCAAATTTTTCTGTATAGCGGAACCTTTTGGAGCTCACAGATGTGGCACCTGTCTTCCGGTCTTTAAAACAACTATGTTATTTTTCAGGAACATGTGATAGCTGCAGAGAATAGCTACACGCTTCTGGTTAAATTATGGCTGCTTTAAAGAGTTGTCAACATGTCCTGTAAAAAATATTTCCCCTCAATTATTTTCAAGGCACTGTCCTACTAGAATGTATTTTTCCAAAGCACTCAAACTTATGTATTATCTTAGGAAAATGACGCTTCATAGAGAAGAGCTAGTAAGGGACCGGGCAGCTTGAAGGTTAAAGTCAAACATTGGAATTGGTGTCAAATTTTCAAGTGATTTTGAAAAATTCATTTTCTTAACAAAATTAAAACAGTTAACAACATTATCCTTAATGGTAAGATCTTGTAGCATGCTGCTGCATTAAATTGTTGACATGCATCACCTTAATGCAATTAAACCCCCTTAAGGTTTTGTTCTGATTTCTTGTAGAAGGTTGGGAGGATATGGACTCAGGTGAAGAGTCTGAAGAAGAGGTAGAAGGAAATCCAGATGAAGTGGAAAGCAGTGTACCTGGGAATGATGGGGCTGAACCTGATGCAATTCCTATAACAGACTGCTTATTCTGTTCTCACCATTCAAGTTGTTTCATGAAGAATGTGGCCCACATGACAAAAGACCATAGTTTTTTTATTCCAGACATAGAATACCTTGTAGATTTTAGAGGGTTGATCAAGTATTTGGGTAAGTCTGTCAGAGCTTTCTCCCTTACAAATACATAAACATTGTTACTGGTTTTTAAGGAAGATGTATATGTTATTTCTCTCAGTGTTTCACTCTCCTTACATATAACTGATTAATTAATATGGCAGTTTCTTTTAAAAATCAAATTTTCTTAAAGTAGATGGCATTTTTAACATTAGCTATATTAGGGTTGGTGTGGATGACATCTTAAAAGTATATCAAATAGGATAAAATGTCATCCTGTTGGACAGACGTTGACCTCTAGAAATAAAGACTATTCTATATAGATGTACACTATTGGCTTTTCTCCTAGAATTTAATGCTGTTTAATAAACTTGATCTTACATCAGAGTAAAGTTGAGCACACACAACATTGGAGAGTATACCTATAAGTTTTGTAAATTGTATGTGCAGGTAGATCTTGGGTTACCACCAATANTTCAAAAACAGCCTTTATTGGACTGTTTAAATGAAATTTTTATGTTTATCCGCCTGTGGCACTTTGCCCTTGCTAGCAAAAAAAAAAAAAAAAAAGAATCTTTATTTGAAATTCCTTTTGCTGATTAGTTTTTCAAATCATGCAATATGCAACCCTTTTGAATAACACATGGGCAGCTTTTTTTTAATCGTAGGGGTCAGGGAAGGATACCAGATGGGATTTGCATCTGGATACTTTTAACTAGGAATGATGGTAAGTGTATTGTGTAAACTCTTCCAATTGAACATATTGAGAGCAATATAATTGTTTTGCAGAATTTGGCTTGATAATTTCCATACAGACCCCTAAGAGCTTTCTTGTGCTGAATAGTTTCTTTGGCTTCCGATGTGCTGTCTGAAGAATAAATGATCGTTCCCCTCCTACATCACAAATTCAGCAGCAGCGATTTGATGTACAGGGCCCACTTTTGCTAGGACATGAAGCAGGTCTGCCCCTGTAAGCAAATTGGAATTACATAGATGCCATATTATTGGCTTAATGGATGGGAAAACATTATACTTAAAATAGCAGAAACTGAAGTGACTTATATAACATTTTTAAAAATTTGGACTTCAAAACTTAGTGATCTGGATCAAATAACACAATATTGGATGTTGGCTTTATTACTTTTATTTATTCACAACTACCTTAAAACATTTTGAGGATAAGAAGCTATAGGATTACCATTTGGTACAGTTGATCTCAAATACCTTGATAAAGCAAAGATACACATGAAATAAAATAAATGGTTATGTTCTCTTTAAAAAAGAAGAGATTTCGAGATATGGTATATTATTTATTGGAATACATTTTATTGCCTGGATTAATCTTTCTTTTAAAACATTACTCATATCCTCTGGAATAAATAATACATAGTTGGAACTTTATTCTTGAAAATATGTTTTATTCAGCCTGCTGTGTTAATCTTATACTGGATAAAGCCCCATTATTCATAATTACTAGTTTATATGCTCTAAAATATTTTAAGTGCTTATTATTGTATTGCATTTTATATTTAGAAGTTATGACGTTGGCAAGTGTTACATAAAAAATTAAATACATAAATAATGTAGGATAAGAAATAATCGTAGCATTAGGATTAAGACATTGATATAGAACATACTGCTATAGGCCTTTTGACTCATATCGCTAGAGATGTTTTATTATTTAAAAAAAGACAGTTCTCAATCATTAGCATATTCACATGGCAGGAATACTATACTGCCAGGTCTCTGCATGGCCATATTTACCAACAGTGACTCATTCATTCGTCTGATCTTAAATTACATTTGATGCATAGCAACTTTATCTGAAATAAAATGGAGGGAAGCTGATGTTTTCTAATAATGCAAAGACTTTTTCTTGCTTTTGGCTTGTGGTAGTCTTAGATTAATTCTAATTCATATCAGTTTCCCCAAAATGATTTTGAGAGAGATTTGGAGGGGGCGGGGCCGTGGTAATAAAGAAAGAGAAAGGTTTTAATCAAGGAATATTTTTGTTCGTTCCATTTAAGGATGATTCTCCATCTTTGGTGGTAAAATCTGAAAAATTAATATGTATACTGTTAAATTTTTTACTTTCTAAAATAATCCCTAATCAGGAATGTGCATATGGATGTTGAACAGGGCACATTGAGAGGAGAAAGGTGGTAAGAATCTATTAATCCATATTCTGATAGTCAGTATAGGGAAGTTGTTAATATTTGACCTCACTCTGAGGATATCTTAGATTTCTTGCCCTGGTTTTTCAATTAATTTCTCTTGATAAATGATATGTCTGAATCCCCAAAATTAATAATTGATTACCCTCCATTCACTTATGAATGGAGTGATTATGAAAAATGTTTGATGAACTTTTGGAAAGAAAACATAGAGTAATGCAATAGCTTCAAAGTTAGGTTTTTAAAATGTCAGTCAAACTCCAACCTAACTGGGTGATGGCCCTCAAGCAAAAGATTATTTTTTTGACCAAGCATGTGTGCATGCATGCATATGTGTGTACATTATCTTTTCTGGAATGCCAGTGGGTTTGTTTTTTTACAGTCCATATATTATGGTTTGTGGCCTGCATGCTAGATAGTAGATTAAGCCCCCCCCCCCCCCCCATGGGTTTTGCACAAACTTGG